TGCAGTTTCGCCACTCCTACCGTACAAGTATATAAGCGCGACCCACACAAAGGTACGACTTATGCCAACTTCTTGTTTTGCTTGAAAATGGTTGTTTATGAAAAAGTGCGACTTAAAAACCGGAAAATGCAGTACTCAATTTTCAAATTAAATTTTTGTTCACATGGGTCTTTTGTATGGTAAAAGGAATCTGGGTCGTATACACCTTTCCAAGAAACACTGGACCCGAGGGGCAGCAAACCGTTTTCGAGCCCATTCACTGCGTTTGAGGCTAGACTCTCGCCGGCGTCCCTGCTAACCCTAACCGAGTGGACTGTGATTTCGACAGGCGCAGTTTCAAACACTGCTGGCGGCTGAATTCTCGTCTCTTCCCGCTGTATTTTGTGTTTCATGGTCCATGTATTTTCCCGAGGTCACTAAAAAAGCATGGTACCACATTTGAAGAAAACAAAAGTGCAAAAAAGCATCTCAACTATTTTTGTTGTTTACGCGCGCGACATAACGAATGCGACTGGAATGTAGTTGTCGTTTTTTTTCTACAATAAATAAGTTTTGACGGCGCCGCCCGATTAGCCGCGTGTAAAATGACAAAGCGCTTAGCTGTCGAAAATAAATTACAACAGAAGGTAGCCGAAAGGCATGCATTTTCACGCTCACAAATAAGTTTGAACATTCGAACAATGCATTGTACTAACCATACGATAGAGCGTTATCTAAAAATAATTTATTTGGGAAAGATTTCAAATAACACACTCACAGTCGACGACAGTCACATCTTGACGATCGGACGGAATCCAAGCTGACTTCGTTTTGGGGCACGTTTTGGGGAGAGCTTCCTTTTTTTTTTTTTTTTTTCACAGCAGCACCAAGGCAAAGGAATGAACGCGACTGACCCGTTTCCTACCCCAATACAGGCAACTATTTTTTGGAGAGGACTCTGCGCGGACTATCTCTGGGAGGGGGGAGAACAATTGTCAAGTTGTTCGCAAAATCGCGTCGAGGGCCGTTCGACGTCCTTCACCTCCTTCGTTTCCCGTGAGTTTCGAGCAGAAAAGCTTGAATGTCAGGCACTTACCAGCCCTATTTCTCACAGTAGAAGATAACAAAGAAATGGTACGCAGCACGGATAAAAAAAAAAAGAATTAAGTGGAAACTTTCAGGAGAGCCAGAAAACGTCGAATGTAAAATGGCAAAACATATGTACAGAATCGCGCTTAGCGGGTGTTCACAGTCCAAGAGTGTGGCAGAAAATTTCTAGCTGATAGAGGGCGCGAGAGTCGCACCAGCCGCATCAGCATCAGCAGCATGGCGGTGGCCTAGGAGTGTTTTTTTGGAAAGGTGTGTAGGCGCAGATGTTATGTATTTTTCAGCAGGGCGCTGCCTTTAAAAGAGGTGTTCAATATCGAATGACCTCAAAGGCTAGGAGGAGGACGCCAACTGGCAAGAGTATGTACTCTTCACGCCACCGAGACGGTCAAGCATGGATGATAGGCCATTTACCGTCAAGATCGTGCGCGGCGGCTGGAACTCAACTCAATACTCCGCAAAAGCAACACACGCATGCTTTACATTTTTTGCGAGACACAGTACTGGCACTGACAGATGGAAGATAATGTCACTCTGATAGTCTGATCATCTCGTCGTGGTACTTGTACCCGGATGAATAAATGTCAATGGGCGGTAGCTTGCGCCACCTAGCCTTCCTTAACGGGCGGTAGCTTGCGCCACCTAGCCTTCCTCATATCATTAATGTATCGCGACTCCAGCGAAACGGACGGCACCAAGGGGGAAAACCGGGAACCAGCCGGAACAGGTCGCGGTGTGCCCCTCCGCGCTTCTGGTGGTTTTCGCGGACATGTGCTGTCGGCACGGTGGCGAACAATGTAATTTGACGAAGGTCCGAATATTCCTTAAGTTTGCTTGAGTGTTCATTAGTGTAGTGAAGCCTCAGTAGATTGTTTCCTTCCATCACGTGTTTGAAAGCCCATTTACTCCACAATACACGGTCGCGTGCATTCGATTTCTTGGATGACGAGGAATCGCGGAAAACCGTTTTGGTTTCTTGTCTTCCTCGAATCACATTCAAAGTGACGACTACTTGGTTTCTTTATAAGGATGTAGAACAGTGGACTCAGGACGACAGACGAGGTGTTTCACGGGGGAACACCAATGTTGCAGTCAAGTGAATGGCTGCTTTTCGGAGTTTAATTGCGATAGCTGCTTTTCGATAGCTGCTTTTCGATAGCTGCTTTTCTTGAGTTTGGTTGCGTTCGATTAGCTTCAAGTTTGAGCCACCCACGCTGGTCGGTGCGTTCGCTATTCATCTTAGCTGCTTTTCGCCGAAAAAACCTCTGGACCACACCGAAGGAGTTGGACTGATTTTGCAATTACTTGATTGCGGAATACCTGCTCGCTGTATACGATTAATGATTGAAATTGTCGGCTTTCAAAAGGCGGGGGACGCGTCTCGCAAAGTTAGAAGCTGTCACGGCATTATGATCTATAGCGCCTCCAATATTTATATTATAACTTCGTCGAAGCCAGCAGAATATACGTCTACATTGCTCAGGTTGACCAGCCACAAAAAATATTTTTTTTCTCCGTTCAGGATTCGAAGTCAAGTTCAATGCAGAAAGGTTCTGCGTGAATCTCAGATGAAGACTCTCTTCAGTTTGTCCGCATTCGTCTCCGTGCTACCGGCTAGAACCATTTGGCTGAGTTTTAAGTAGTATCTTTCTGTCTGTCAAATATACCTTTATTCAGCAGTCCACTTAATAGCTAGTCAACTAAGCTCATATTTCAACCCGAAGAATATACTAATATCGCTTTAGTGGGACATATTACGTAATATAATACATAACCCGCATATTCGTCAAAATGACTTATCGATTGCTAGTGAAACCTGAATTGAAATACGAGTATAAGCTGCTTAGTGGGGCGCCAGGGGGTTAACATGGTCCTTGGCTCAAGAAGCGATTGCTTAATTTCCGTAATTTGCGTGCAGCCTGTGTTGTTGACCGAGCAGACGACTGGAGCTGTTTCTTAAACGTGAATACGCATAAAACCTCGATTTCGCGGACAGATAAGTCGCATGGTCGAGGCATGCGAGTTAGCTGAAAATTACTTTCGGTGGAACAATTCTGTAGTGATCGCCGCTTTCCTTAGCTGATGAAAACTGATTAAAGTCTATTATCGCCTTCCCGGAATCTCTAGTTTCAGCTTTGAACGAGGTCTCAGAAACGAAAGTTTGATATGAAAAGAACAAAAAACACCGGGAAAACAAAACTATGCCCTGCAAGTTTATGTGCATCGGCTACACTTAACCGTCTGAGTTCAAGTACCTATAAAATTGGGCATTAAACAAAAAAAAATCTGTTAAATTAAGTGCGCCCGGCCGAGCCGACGTGACCTGGACCCAGCCGCCATGTTTGTTTGCTGGTGGCGCCCCTTATAGGTCGCTGGAGTCGCGATGTGTAGAGTAGTCTGCTAGAGCCATACGCTCAGGCTAACCTCAATGTCTTTCAATCGTCCTTTCTTTCTTGTGGCAATATCGAAGCGAGGAGCATTCCACCTCTGACAATCAGTGACGTCAGAACCGATATCGCGAAAAACGTGGCAAGTATCGGCCACAATTTCAGGCACATAGAAGCACTATTTTTTTCCTTCTTCAGCTTTGCTTTGCATTTGTGGTTTTATTATTCCGATTGGGCGACGTGAAAGGTCACCACTCTCGTTACAAATGTGTTCGAGCCAGTATCGAGTGAGAATACGATAGCCACTCTGGCGAAACAAAGAAAAACAAAATGCATCTCCAGCCGCGAAGTCTGAATTAAAACTATACTCGGTAGCAATTTTTAGTGGCATTTTTAAGAGGGGGAGGAGAGTGCCCGCACAACTTTAATCTTCGCGCAATCTGGGTAAGAACGCGTGTTCGTTCCCATACGAAGAGACATTAAAGGAGACGAGGAGATGAGAACGTGCGGTTTCCAAGCTGTGAGCCCTTGCTTGAGACGCTTGCTTCATAAATTGCTTCCTCTGGAAGAAAGGAAGCTTGCCGGGAAAGCAAATGCCATAAGCACAGATGGCTGCCTGTATTTTCATGCAACTGTCAGCGAACAGATATAGAAAGTGGAATCATGAGTTCCTGGTACCTAGAAAGGGTGCCAAGCAACGCCTTCAGTATTCATCCGAATTCTGTGATTCCCTTGGTGCTAGAGAGCACAAAAAGATGGGAATCGTAGGAGTCCTTGGGTTTCGTAGTGAATACTTTGTATCGCATATAATATGGGGATTCACGCAAAAACCTGGGAGTTGAAAATGACATTAAAAAGAACCCTTTATAAGGGGACTCAAGGGAGCCCCTAGGAGTTGTGAATGAAGCCAGCAAGAACTCCAAATTAGGAGAATCACTGGTCCAGGGGTGTAACATTGGGATTTGGATAACAGCCATGGTAGCGGGAGACAGATGAGTCCCAGGGGGACTCGAATGAAGTGTTACATGACCCTCCAAAAATGGGGAGTACTAGTATTCCCAGATTTAGAAGAATCGGATGACTCCCCGAACGGGTTATATATGGTACATCGCTTCACCCCCCTCAAGAGAGTACCTGTGTACATCCCTTTTTTAAAGTGGGGAATCACGAGCCGTTTTTCCTCAGATTTCACCGAATTTTGTCAGGTGCACTAGTTTACTAATATGGACACAACAAACGCAAAGAATACATTAGATTCTCAAAATATGTAGCAAGCTTATATTCATCAGACAGCGTTGACTTTTCGCGGTCAAAATTCTGCCAGAAGCGAGAGTATACGCACGCGAGCTGATTAGGAAACAATATAATCTAAAGTCTAAACCCCGAAACGGATGGAGAAAAAAAAAAAAAAACAAGAACGGATAAGTCTTGTCCGTTATTTTATAGCTTCGTGCCTCAGGGTTTAGATCAAGAAAATAATGTCATTTTACCGACAAAAGCCACATTCTCTAAGGCTGAAACTACGTTTCAGTCCTCTTTAGCCAGTACTTGCCTCTTTCCTGAGTGCCCGAGTTTCACGTCATCCTTGAATACGCCACTGCTTGTCTGCGGCCTATAGAAGTCGTTCTTGAGATCAGAAACGGTCTGTTTGATATCAGCACAAGACCTCCTCAACTCTTCGAGTAACTCTCCTTCCCTGTGAATCGCATCTGACTGCATTCTCTGAAGATGTGCGAGACGGCTCGACACGGCATCAATACTTGATGAAGGCCCATGCTTGAGGTCATCCGTAACTGCGTTGACACTCGCCTGCAACCCAGAGTAGCCATCTTTGAGTTCAGCCATGAACTGCTGGATATCCGCTCTGGCGTTCTCAAAGTTTTCAAGTAACTGTTTTCCCAGCTTAGTCAGACCTGGCTGCGTCTTCTCAAGCTGTTGCATGACGCCCGACAGAACTTCAGTAACAGCTCGATTTGATTGTGAATGTTCAAGCTTGACGTCATCCGCGACGGTGTTAACACTGTCCTGCAGCCCATAGTAGCTGTCCTTAAGTTCAGTAATAGACTGCTTGATTTCAGCACTGGCTTTCTCCAAGCTTTGACGCAACTGTACTCCCTGCAGTGTCACCCTTGGCTGCAGCGCTTCCGCTCCTTGTGTGGGGTCACAGTCTTGGACGCAGTGCTGCACGAGGCCCGTCCGTGGCACGTCCTGATGACACTTAGGACAAGAAGCCCTGTGGTGAGTGCATTCTTTTTCGAAGTGATCCAAGAGCTCGGAGACGGGCCCGACGAAGTTGCAGCCATGCTCAGCATTCCAGCAAGACACACTCAGTTTCAGCAACTGTCCCGGTCGCAACCTCAACTTGTCCACCGCATCCTTGTCGAAGTTGGCTGTGTCTAGCGGACACACGCAACCCTGGTTCACGCTGCTCTCGAAGCAAACGTTGCAGAGTGTGTGGGAACAGGGCAGCACGACTCTTTCATTGCACAGTACTCCGCAAACTTGGCACACCTGGTCAAAAGGAAGGGGATGTTCGAAACATAACGGCCGCCAGTCCAGGCCTGGCATGAATTCCGTGGACAGTGGCACACAGGTTGGCGGCATCCTGGAACGGTGTGGGGCTCCGTTGTATGTCTCGCTCGCTCTTCGCAGATGTCTGGCACACGGTGAGCACAGGGGCGATAAGAGGCACCTCCTCAGTTCCCGCACCGCGACCGTCGGCTTATCGGCCGTTAGCAACGGAAGCCAGCTATCACAATCCAGATTGCCTTTTGCTATTTCCTTCATTTCTTTTACGAGTACAAGTAAAGAGAAGACCATCAACATCGGGCTTGCTTGCATGCGCTCGTTTGCCCGAATTACACTGGTTGCTTCTCACCTCAAAGCAATACTTTTTCAAGGAAGTGGTAGATTTTGTGGTGGTGCGGCTGACCTCACGCTCCAAATCTGCGACCGTACACTCTATGGCTCCATCTTTGAACTCCCAGGCTTTGTAAGTATAGAGGAGGCTATGGGCGGGTCAATAACGAGTCTCAATAAAGTACCTTACCTAAAAATACTGCTTTCTTTGTGATATTGAGAAGGCGAAACGTCAAACCTTATTCCTTCGCAGATCGCGTTACTGAATGTGCCGGGCAAGAGGGGTTTTTCTTGGTCTCGTCATTCGCTTGGGACTTCAAATTACGTTGTCTCTTTCGTGATATCGTTTTTTTTTTATTTTTTTAAATATATTTTACCCATCGTTTCCCTTCTGTCGTTTATCGCGTTTCTCTCAAGCGTTCCTCGACGCCTCCTCGCCATGACTTTGTTATCGGCAGGGTTTGGACAACTTCTTTACTGATAATTCAGCTTTTCGAATTCAGATTTATCGGATCACGCACTATTTAATCTCAGCGTAGAAAATTTTGCATACGTCATTCTTAACGTTTTTCGGGCTGAACATTTACCTGTCACATTTTGAACAGCCAAACGTGCATGACAAGGACGAGTTAATAAACGATTTCTCGTAGGAAAACATATCAACTACCGAATTATCATTATGTACAACATAGACTCATTCAATGAGGGATTGAAAAAAATAATACAGAACCGAGTTCATAATATTAAAAAAAATATCTGCACACAGATGACACATGAAACATTACAAGTGATAAAATCTAAAGATGATTGGCATGGAAAAATGAAACATATGAATGCCTTCTGTCATGGAAAATTTTATATTTGTTTAAACTTGTTGACGGCTCTTGTACGACGACGAATAAAGTCAAGGCACTTACTTAACCCGTAAATTGAAACACTGCGACAGCTGAGGTGTGACCTCGGATTCGCTAAGGTGCTATTTCGGAGCAGAAGGGCTGAATGAACTGTAAATGCCCCTACGCACAGTTGCCTTTGAGAGCTCTTGAGTGCATTTGGCTGCCCTGCGTCGAGAAACAAAGGCGAGTCACCGGCACATCTGCCCTAAGTATGGAATTCAATTCAAAGAATAGCTTGGCATGCGACATAAGAAGCAGGGATGTACTTCTGCGTGATGCACGTTAAAGACCCCAGGCTAGCGGTTGTACTGCACTGGCTAAATTGCTCATCTACAGCGAGTGACTCGTCGGAACTTTGAAATGGCTGACCTACAACACGCTGTATAAATATCTAAACAACCCCAATTATTATTCCTGGTTTCTCGTAGATGCATCGCAGTCACACGCATTTAAAGGGGCACTCCTCAACAGTTTTTTTTGAGCTACCTCAACTAACTTATTTTCTGACTCCCCGGCCTTTACCTTTTTCGGGATGCTATTTAGTATCGCGAAATTCATAATAGTTATTGTGAAATCGGTAAATGAACATGATACAAAATCAACATTTTAACATTCCTTCACTTTTCAGTGCTGTGACGTCAGTGGCAGGCAGGCTCGCCAGTCGAGTAAGCAGTCTAAAAAATAGAATATGTCAATCATTTGTTCCGTGATGGAGCGCGAATGCTGGAGCGAGCTTCCAAAGTATTCATTTGACAGCATGAAACTGCTTCGAATCAGTTGGGAACAAGTCCTACAGTCCAATGAGTGAATTCCTGCCTTCCACTGACGTCACTTTTTCGTTGTTGCCAGTAGAGACTTTCAGTTTGAAACGCATGTTAAGGACCAAAACTGCAAATTTAATAACTTTGCGAACAAACAGTATTTTGACCTAATATTTGAGATACTATTTTAGCTATGTTTGTTGGTGAGTTTAACAAAATTTCAAGCAAATCGGAGACAATAAAAAACATGTGGAGTACCCCTTTAAACGCTCTCAAACGCCACTGTGAGTGAGGCCTTTAAAGCGCTCCTGAAACGCTTTCCTACTTTCGCTAAATACTACTTAGAATCACTCCCTAGCGTTAACAACTAGATAAAATTCCTTAGTTTTTCTATTTAGGCAATGGCATTCACCAAAAAAATTGGAGAAATATGAGCATCGTTCATCCCTTCAACTCGGAGCCAGAACAAGCGGCGAGAGAGGAAGAGGAGGAGATAGAGTGCGGACATGTTTTTCCGAGCTCCCGGTTTTCTCTGCTCCTGAATCACTTCTTCAACTGGTTCTACCGGGGGCCAACCACCTCGCCGTAACCATCTTCATCAGAATCATCAGAGGAACTGAGATTTCCGCCGGTGAGCCCGAATTTCTCCCAATTTTAGGATCTGTGCCTGGATCACTCGGCGGCGGGACCTAATTCTAATGTAGGTGAGGACCCCTGGCCAGGGCGTCCCCAGGGCGAAATGGCCGAAACACCCCACGAGAGCATGAAGCAGGGGTGCTATGTCGCGCTTTTTGGATTCCCAGGAGACTATAGGGAGAAGGAAGTGACGTCGACGACACAGCAGACGCAGATTGGATGTTGACAGAAGAAAACGAAATCAAGACCCAATCTGCGTTTGCTGTGTCGTTGACGTCACTTCCTTCTCCCTAGTCTTCTGGGAGTCCAAAAAGCGCAACATAGCACCCCAGGACCCTGAGGACAAGCCTGTCCGAGATCACGAGCCCCCAGGAGATACGTCGGAACTCCAGAGATCCCGAACCCATACACCGGGAGAACGGTCTGGAAACTTCCATAACTGCTCCATGGTTGACCAGGACGAGGGGAAACAACCTCCCTAGGACCGAGATTCTAAAATGGGGGGACAATAGGAGATCGGCACGAGATCTACAAAAACCCGACAACGCTCCCGAAGCTTCAACGCTCGAGAGCGCGAAGAGCAATATCGCGGCTGACACTGGTAAAGGCGGAAAAAGCCGGAAATCCCCGTAGGCTCCTTCCAAGAACCCAGCAAAACATGGCGGCGCTCATACCAAATGAAAGCCGGTGGCCGAAAGGCTCCCACCACTTCCCAGGAGTCAATACAACGTTGTCATTAGGCCCTTCAATAAGCTCACAGAGCGGTCATTACGCTGATACCCAAGCCACGCAAGCCACTCTCGCTCCAGAACTTGCGCCCAAGCTCACTCACGTCGTGCACAAACGAACTGATGGAGCTCGTAGTGCTCCGCTAACTTGAACCGCACCTGGAATCGACGGGCCTCTTTGCAAACTCGATGTTCGGTTTCAGACCCAATTTTCCCACGCAAGACGTTCTTTTGCAAATCAATAAGGACGTACGTCCTTGATCACCCGAGGAGAGCCCAAAATAGAGCCATATTTGCACTAGATTTAAGGGGAGCACTCGATAACGTGCCACACGACGCGATACTGCAAGGTCGCGCCCGGTCTCCGTGCCGAGAATGGACGTACGATAACGTCCGTTCGTTCCTCAGCGACCGAGTAGCCACCTTATTAAGGATCGGGGACCCGCGTTCCTGCCTCATCCAGCCCACGGGATGAGGTACGCCGCAGAGATCGGTCCTTTCACCAACACTATTTAACGTTGCAATGGCGGTATTACCTGCCCTGCTAGACGCTATTCCGGGCATCAGGCACGCGTTGTACGCGGACGACATCACGGTTTGGGCCGGCAGAGGCTCGGACGTCGAGATTCAGGACGCGTTACAGGCGACGGCTGGAACTACTATGGCGTAGCCTAAGGAAGCCCGGCTCTCATACGAGGCAGACAATTCTGAACTTGTCATCCGGGAGCCAACCAGAAATAAAATAATTGAGGAAATTACCATCGAAATAGACACTCGAGACCCGAACTATATGGCACCTGTTTTCTGGCTTTATATATTTTCGAAGATTCTGAGCGTCCGGTGATATTTTGTATGCAGAACAAGCGTCTTCGCACCATATGCAGAAGCAGAAAGAACATTAACATTTCAACATTAACTTTACCTTCACTTAATGTTGATCGTATGCATGCACAGAGAGTTACTAATCCAGTGTCACCGCGTGGTTTTTGCCGTCTCTCTTGGTTTTTCTGATGTCCTTTGTTCGTTTAGCAAGTAAATTCTCTATGCAGAAAAGGGCCAACGCCGTTTCCGCGCTGACAGTTCCCGACAGCGCACATATATGCATGTATAAAACTGTTTTAGCAACGTGTTTAATGCACTACATTTTGAAGAAAAACATTGTAACCGACCAACATTTTTATTTACACGATTGAGAAATGTCCGAAGTTATATACTACGTTATAATTATTCGTAATATTTGCTCTTATAATCAAGCGCAGAGGAAAGGAAAAAAAAAAAAAAAAAAAAAAAAAAAAACAAAAACATGCTCTAGCTCACGCTTTCCCTTTTAGAAATGTTTTATCGGAAGTAAATGTTTGACTGGTTTTTGTCAATTTTACTACGCCACCTGAACCGTTTGCGTACATTAGAATAGCTCCATGACTATGGATGAACAAACGACTGCTCATTTTTTTTAAAGACGACTTCTACTCGATCAACGCGCTAGCGAGCGAAGAGCCGACTTATCACGAGAAGAGTAAGAAAAAATAATAAAAGAAATAAAAGGAGTTTATTTTCCGTTTTGCTATTACAAACTACAGTCTTCGCTTCATCGAACAGGAGACTTTAGGTGCCGTTTGGCGCGGCTTCAAGAGCTGATAACGCCGGTTCGCTCCATGGGACAGGTAATGCTTTCGCATTAACACTCTTTTATAGTTTATCACTTACTGGTGAATATCCTCCCGTAGTGATGTCCGGGCCGTCAAACAGACAGGCGCTTCGATAGGG